GTGAAGGACATTTGGAGCTGGATGACCAATGGCATTCTCACTTCCACCTGTGTCTTAACATGTACCCTCCCAGCACCAACAAATCTGATGTCTGCCATCAGCAATCAGAAAACCTTGTGAAAGCTGCAAAAGCTTTTGCTGATATTCAAAGAATGTAACCGAATATAAGTGACTTTCAAGAAAATTTCAAAACAGATAAGAAAACTGAAGTCAAACATTAAATCATGGCAGTTACCCGTTGCTAAGTAAATTAAAGTCTTTAAAAGGAAAAGGGAAAAGCATGTCAACACCTTTTCAGAGGCATTTTACAAAAACACTGTGAGACATGAGCAAGAGTTATCATACTGTTTCCCAAAAAACAAAATCTTTCTGTCACCGTATACAGGCTTACCGATATAAATGACCATCGTCTTCAAAGTCCTCTTTGCCCCACCTTCCTTTAATATCTTCGATAACATGATTTTTCAAGAATTTTTTAAGCAGCTTAACCGTTTGATGGCGAGTCACTTCTGGGCCAAAGTTTTGGTTAGAGCCAAGCAGCTCATGCAAACAGTCCACTGCCTCCGAGGCTTTGAAGCAGCGCTCGTAGCTCTTGAAACGACAGCGATGCTTCCGTAAGGGCATCCCAGCTCGGAAGAGCTCGATTATCTCGTTCCACTGGGAAAGAACAAAGCCAATCGTTACGGGAGCTCTACTCTCAGGTTTTCCTGAGGCCAGAACGCAGCCAGTTCTGCAAGCAGAACTACACACCTTTTCGACCATCTGCGTTCACAAGAACATGGAAACCTAAGCCTAAGATTTAAACTGTCGAGACCCGAGAGCAAACATCAATTTTAGGATGCTGAAATATTTAGAGCCCCATACTACCTGCGGATCTACGGATACGGCTCTAGCCTCTCTTAGGTTTTACCGGCACAAAAGGCTGAGTCTGCCCCTCCGCCCGGCCGGGCTCTGCCCCGCACCAGCCCCGGGCGCCCCCGCCCCGCAGAGATGCGGCCTAGGAGCACCGGCCGGCACCCAGGAGGCCCGAGAGCGAGTGGCCTCCGGGGCCAGAGGCACGAGGGGGTGACGGTGTCCGGGATGGCGACGGGGGCACTCACCAGGCGGGTGGCGCGGTACGGCCCGGGCCCCACCAGCCGCGGCTCCATAGGCGCGGCCGCGCCGGCTCCGCGCCGCGTTTGAATCCGGCCGGGCGCCGCCGCCTTCGCCCATTGGGTGGCGGGGGCAGCACGTGACGGGCCAACACCGCCCTTGATTGGCGGGGCGGGGGGGCGGGGCGGCCGCGCAGGGGCGCGAGCAGGGAGCCGAGCGCGAGGGTGGCCCTGTGGGGGGCGCTGCTGTCGCCAGGGCCGTGTGGCGGCGGGCGCTGTCGCCAGGGCCCTGTGGCGGGGGTCGCTGTCGCCGGCGCTGTGGCGGCGGCCCTGTGGCGGTGGGCGCTGTCGCGGGAGATGTCGTAGCCTGCGGGCCCTGGGGGCAGTGTGGGCCGGTGTACCACGGGAGCGTGCCGGCTCTTCGCGGTGGTGCCGAGGAGCAGGACAAGAGACAACGGGCAGACAACTGATGAACATGAGGAGGAATGTTGCTGTGTGGGTACTGTGCACTGAAACAGATTTCCCAGAGACGTTCTGGAGCCTCCCTCATGGAGATAGTTCAGAACCATCTGGACTCAGTCCTGTGCCATGTGCTCTGGGATGGCCCTGCTTTAGCAGGTAGGTTGGACTGGGTGACCTGCTGTAGTCCCCTCCAGCCTGGCCATTTGACGATTCTGTATGTGGCAACAAGTTAAACCATGTCAGGAAAACATTGGCCAGTGAATTGCTGCCCCAATAAAGAGAACACAGCCTTGGCATTAACTAAACAAACAAAAAAATCAAACTAAAAAAATCCCTCCAAACCCTCAATTTGAAATGTTTTTAAATTGTTTCCAATCGAATTTTTTGTTAGATAATTTTGTTTTGAATTCAGGCAGTGTGTGGGATGATAATTACTTGCAATTACATTTGATATTATTCCTAAAGAAGACACGAGTTGATGCTGGTGCCATAGAACTCATGGAGTTGTTGTATATCAGCTTTTTATGAGCATTTTAAAGAAAGGATGATTTGAAAAGTAAATAGGAACCTCCATTTTTAGGTAGGAGATTTTTGATACCAGGTCACCTATCCTGGGCAGGGATGTAACTGAAACTCCTGTGATACCTATTACAGATGAGCTAACTGTCAATTTTTAGGAGTCTTACAGGAGAGGAGTAGCTGGTAATACCAGTGTTTCTTTGCCATCAGGTTTAAGGAAAACAAAATTTTAGCCCCATTCCCCTTACTGTCAGTCAACCTTCATGGATTACTTAACTGACTGTTGGACTCTTCTTTCTAGCCTAACTCAAAAGTATACACTTCAGTATGTGAGATGTACAGTTTTTAGGTTGAGATAAAGATTGTGTGATTCTCACATTGTGTGTAGGAGGACAGGATTTGTTTTGAGCTGATGTCATTAGCACAGTTACACTATATGCATCCTCTGAGACTGCATCCATACAACTTCACTGTGAAATGCTGGATTCTCTTTCTCCAAATGCTTTATTACTCACAGAAGACTAAACCACTGTACAAGATATTATGCAGCGGGAATCTGAAATGGCACTTGCTGACAGCCCACAGTATGATTAGCATCTCCAGTTTCTGCTCCTGCTTATTAGTTTTTAATCTCAAACAACTGACTGTGAAAGCCTTGGCTAATGTACAGTTGCTGGAATTGGAAGTTGTCCTGGCTCCTTTCTCTCCGGCACCTGTCCACATGCAGCACTCTGTAGTTTTGACTGTGCATAGTCTCAGCTCCTCTTTAAGCCCAAGTGAGTTTGAAAAATCAGTTGCAGATCTAGCTCCCAAACCAACAAACAAGTACCTGTCCCTTCACACCCAAATGCAGGATGCATTCCCACAAGCATATTTATGGGCCAGGGAAGGAAGTATGATTGCAAGATCATTACCAGCACATTGATAACCAGCACAGAAGTCATCTGCAAGGCTACAGAGGAATTCCTGTTTCCTTGCACAAGAAGCAGGGGGTACTATTATCCAGTTGTCTATTACAGCCTTTCCCTCATAAGGCCTACATTTCCCAAACACATTTGAATGTGCAGGCTCAAGAAGACCTGAAAAATACAAATTGTCCTACTTCCTTCATCAGTACTTATGTAATAAATGAATATATATATATCTATATATCTAGATATATATATAGATATATAAAAAGAAAACATAATCCTTCCCTTCTATTTGAAAAAACAGCAATAGGTCTCTGTCCTTAAGGAAAGCCCCCTAACACTGGAGGCCAGGGGCATACATACAGGCCAGAGGTGGCTGGACTTGAGACTTCGAGTTAGTGATGAACTGCATTTCCCACCAAAGAGATGTGGTCCCTGATCAGCATCACAGCGATTTAGGATCTTGTGATAAAACACCTCTCTCCCCTTGTACTGCCAGGGAGCTAGGAACTGAACACTGATGATTCTAGGATCAAGCACCTAAAAAGGCAACGTCTGAATTTAAATCTCAACTCATCTCAATACTTTGAGCTCAACTTTCAAGCTGCCATGAGAGCTGACAGCTACAGAGATTCAATAGTGAATAGATAAAATATAAAATATTTTTTATTTACTTTAAAATACGTGATGTAATCGCTGAAGAAAACATTTGCAACTCATGTCCAGTTTACATTCCTTTAGCATTTACAATGCACCATAAATGTCAGTAAAATAAAAGTGTTCAAGTAACAAAGCTTACTCTCTTGGAATTGTACAACAGGGAGGCTATTAAAATCTGCCTCAAAGTTTTCAATAATTGAAAATCCCACAGATCAGATAAAATCAAAAGCAAATACTGCAAGTTTCTTTCTTTTTGGTGTTGTAGAATGTTTAATGGTAATATTAATCTAAACAGATTTAATTCCGCATTTCCAGGTCTGTTGTGTGCACTAATTCCTTAATAAACTCATGCAGTACGAGTGCAACTTAAAACAGCAAGTTCCTTTGATTTCCATACAAATGTGACCCTAACAATCTGCCTAACCTTGGAAAACAACATACTGGGTTAATTCTGCACAGAGTGGAGCCATGCTCAGTCATCACTGCCTGCGCCATTTTCAGAAGATCAGAGAATGTCACATTTTTTTCTCTGGTTCCAGACAAGACAACTGGAGTAACTTTAATGTTGAGCTGATAAAAACAAGCTGTAATAATAAAAACAACCAAGATGACACAAACTCTTTCTAGACATGTATTTCAGTAGATAATGGAAATGGAAGAAAGTAGAGTACAGTACAATCATGGTAGGCAACATTTAAGCTTAAATCATTAAATGAAAATTCTTTTACATTTTATTTGAGTACTAAGATTTTGGCTATTGAATTAAAAGATTCCATAATCCTCCTAGCCCCATTTCACAAACAGCACAGGCTACCAATATAAAGTATATCCATAAACACATTGAATAATAAGTGTATTTGGCTACTACAGTGAACAAATCAGTAAGATGTTTTGATCACTATGCTACAAGACAATTCAGATAATCCCCATATTAGTAGCTTTCCAACATTTACGATAATGTTCAACTGAGTAGAACATGAAATGAATTCAGTTCTCCTAGTAAAAGACAGTATATCCAAAAATCTTTGATCTTCAAATGAAACGCTGTCTTAACAGATTAACATACAATCCTTCCTTTAAAGTAATATAGTTTATAAACAGATGTAACAATGCTTATGTATTAACTATATTAATATGCTTTAGAGTCTACAAACAGTACTTACTGAAGAATCATTCTTAAAATAAAATGCAGCTGACAGTCTTAGCAACTTACAACATTTAAAGTGAAGTAATTTTTATCCCCCTCAAAGTGTGTTCAAAGTACTCAGTACTTGTCATACACATTTTCGTTTTTCCAATTATCTTTATTTTTGTCCATTTTTAGATAGAGATCATCTATCTTTTTTTTTTTTTTTTCATCAGAGATCCACAGTTCTTCCCCACTCCCATGTTCTGAATCCCAAATAACTTACGGTAAAAATACAAATTCTGTTTTGGAAGAAAACATACAAAATATACACCATGTAGTGTGCGCACCTAAACATCTTGATTGTCAAGTAGTGCAAGTTTCCCCTTTGACATATACACTTCTTTGGTTTTAGAGACAAGAATTTCTTTCACTGATCTTTGCTGATACCATTTTTTGCCATTTTTGGCAGTCTTTGTCCCTTGGTGTACGCATGGTACCAGAAGTGGAGAAACAAGACTAAAAACATAGAGCCATAAAGCCAAATAATAAACATGAAAATTGGATACTGGTATGGACAATCATCCATGATGTAGATCTGTCCTATATGGACTGTAATCATAATAAACTGGACCTGGAGGAAAAAGGTGAAGAAAGTAAGTACTTTTGAAATAAATTACAATTTTACTACAGAAGTTTAAAAAATTTCAACATAGCTTGTTTGCTAAAAAACAGATAGTAGGGGTGGAGTGAGGGCAAAGCAAGGAGCAACAGGGACAACAATACAACTTCTTCATGTGACACAGATACACCTTTATAGCCCATCTCCCCAAAATATTACTCCACTGAAAAACAGGTTTATGTAATAAAGGAAGAGAAATTCTGTGACAAACTAAGGAACTCATAGTAGGAAAATAGGATTCTACCCTGGCCAGTTCAGATAAGAAGGAAGGAGGCAGACAATGTTTGTCCAGTGACAAATGGGAGGCTCCTTTAGGAAAATTAGGAAAAAAAAAAAAAGCAACCATTACAGGGTTAGGAAACAAGAATTTCCACCTTCCCTGCACACTAGCATGTGACAAAAAGACACTCCACATGAACTCCAAGCTAATAGTCCACTGGTAGTGCCTCCAGGTTAAAAAGTCCAAGTTAAAAATATTCAGGCTACATTGTTCAGAGTTGCACATGTTTACATGAAGTATTCTACTAAAACCAGCCCTGGTACAAGCAGACAGGATGCTCCTTTACCTCCTCCATCAGCATCCTTGCTCTTTCTAAGCCAATTGTCTAGCCAGAAACTGAATTTTGAAAATCCATCTATTAAATGAGGTGGGCATGAAAAAGCACTCAGAAGAGCAACCTTTTGAAAGTGAATGAAACACTTAATATAATTACTGCAAGAGTGGCTTTTAATGCTCTGGGCTGGAGAGAGGCAAATTTTCTAAACACAAACATTTTCTATGAAAGAACATCAAGTTCTAAAGAAGTACTTTTTCCCTTTCCTAACTACATGTTACTTGTAGTTACTAGTTACATCTGGAACCTGTACATAAATTATATTTTCTTGGTGTAAACTTATATTTTGATACTTTTTATACAACCAATGAGTCTTGTAAATATATTTACCAAGTACTGCATAACTGGAAAAGCTTATTTGTCTAAATCTGTGATTACAGTGAATGCTGAAGTCAGCAGATTTAAGTGTATTACTGTGGAGAGTTCACACCTTTTGTTATCCTCAGTTGAAACATTAGTAAATCTTATACCAACTGTAAATTCCACACACGGGCATAACTAAGAGGAAAAATTTATTGCATCAAATCTGTGTTAGCTACAATCAGTTTTTTTGAGAGGTACATATGTCAAAGACAGTTACTCACAAGTTGTATAGTTGTCATATACTTTTTCCACCACAAATATTTATGATAGGCTGGTCCCAAAGAACAGATTCCATAGTAAGTGTACATGACAACATGCACAATACAGTTCAGCAAGGCATGAAATGTTCCTAAACCACCTGTAGAAAAACAAAACATAGTAGTAGTATTACAGCAGGTATCTAAAAAGCCACTGTGGTCCTAGCAGATTGCCTTCAGCCAGGGTATGAAAAACATGTACCACAAAATCTAGACTTTGACTAACCCTCAAGGTATTTTACCTGAATTGCATTGATACCAGTTCTCATGGATCATATGAGTTTCTTGCCTCAGAAAAGGTTTATCTAAGCATTCCCAAAACAGCAATTAAACCAAGCTGATCTAATAACCTGCAAAAACATTTTAGTGGAATTTTTTGTTCTTTGGTTTAATTTTTAAATTATAGTTTATTAAAACATATATTTGATAGAGACGGAAAACTTAGTAGAAAGCTTTCCTCCTGTTTTTTGCCTCCTTTCTAGATATCACGATAAACTTCAAGAAGTTGCAGAGAATAAGTAACAAGTTTCTTCTCAACACATATTTCCAGATTCCCCAAGAATGAAATACAGTTTCAGACACTAAGTTTTCGTAATCATGAACCAGGGTCTCACAAATCCATTGTCCATCTCAAAACATACTTAGAGTAAATAGAGCCCATATTTATGACTGTAACTGGCAACACGTGAGCATTTCAAAGCACGGGTAAGGAAACAGTTCCTTCTCCATTGGATTAACGATGGAGCTACACGATCCTGCTCAAAGTAGCTTTATTTTAACGAACGCAAGAAATTAGAGTTAAAAGTGATCCAAGAAGCAGCAGACAGCAAAGTATTTCTAAAAGAAACATGGACATGGAAACAGTGATCATCAAAAAGAAAACAAGAAGACATAAAAGGAGACATTTAGTGAGAAAAAGAGTGCCATTTTCCCATTTAGAATCATTCAAATTAAAAATAAAGCATATTTTGTGTTTTGAGTAGTTCACACTAATCTTCCAGCTTGAGAAGGCATAACTCCTCCAGCTGTGATTGCAAACTTTCTTTGAAACTTAGCTATTTGTATTTTTAAAAATAATTTGAATGTTCTTACAGTTCAAATATACATACTTTTTTTTGGCTTGTGCAGTGAATATTCAGAAGAAAAAATAAATAGCTAAAGCAGAGAAAAAAGGAACCTACAAAACAGTACAAAAATATGCTCCAAAAAGCAACACTATACAAAGCATCATTTTATAATTCTCTATTTATATCAGATCAGAGAAAAAACAGCATCTCCATCCAATACTGTTGGGTTTTTTACAAACAGGTTGAAAACTTGATAATGCTGCTGTTTAGAAGGACAAGCACTGATGAAACTGAATACAAAATAAACATCAGCAGGACTGAAATTCTTGGAAAAAATTAAACTTATCAAACAACAGTATTTGGAAAGATAAGTGTAAAGATAAGCAATAGAGTTTTTGGAATAAACACAGCTCTGCATAAATATGAGGGACTATTACTAGCAGAGGACAAAATTCTTGCACACTTTGCTGAAAGTATTTGTCAAATTATCACATGGGAAATTTGAATCTATTGCAAAATCAGAAGCCTGTAGCTGGTATACTGATCCAACATCTAGATAAAAAGGAGAAAGTTAATCACCTATAAGTGGAAAATTTTCAAGGTTGAAGAGGAGGGACTGCTGTTTGCTGCAGTTTTCCCTTTGCAGACCTATAAACACCTTGGGGTGTATGCTGAGATGAACAGTCACAGTTTTATTATTAACTTAATACCAGTCACTCAGCAAGATTTGAGAAATACATAATCAATCCACCACCTTCCTAATAACAGAAATTCAACAAATACAACAGAAGTATATCCATTTATACACAAGGAAAAGCTGTACACTGGAAAGGTTTAAAAGGTCTACGAATTTTCTGGAGTGCTTTCTGGACCACTTCAGAATAAAAAGAGACATAAAATAGACAATAAGGTATCAGACTGAAAAGCATTGGAACAACTGCTTCATCAATTCATCACCAATTTTCTGGGACAAAAAAAGAAAAAACACAAAACATGTTTCCAGGTAAACATGTATGAAACCCCACTATTTCTCAGTAAAAATTCCTAAAAAAGTCTAAACTGTCCCAGAAATGGATTTATAAATGACTGTACATTTCTCCACTCTGTGTTTTTCAGAATATTCTCATGGCAATATTCTCATATTTATTAGTGGTGCACACTTTTAAGGAAAATGCAAAGACACACCAAGCAGGAAAGGAGAAAGTGAAGGTAAGCTGGTAGTGGTCAAAGAATTTAAATTCAAAACAATTCAAATCTGTTTCTTTTATAAAGTAGGTCCAGAAAAATATTTCTGTAGTTTTGTGAAAGCTGAAATAGCAGGTGTAAATAAATCCCACATATATTACCTAAAGCCAGTAAAAGCAAATGCAACAAAGACCGAATAATTTCTCAAACAGGAAAAAGAAATGAATGCAGTTCTCCCCTCCAACTGAGTTCTAACATTGTAGGGGGTAAAATGGTTATGAAGTAGTTTCAATAGAGTTATTCACTTCATGTATCTCCCCTAGCACTTATGATTTTTCAATGACTTCTCTCTTTCATGTAATGATGTTCTTTGCTTGTACCCAGCTCTCTTCTCTGCACCTCTTCTCCCCATAAGAAATCAACACGGAACAAAATATCATCAAATAGGAAAAATGAGTAATCCCCACCCATTTAAATAATTATGGTGATCTCAGTTGTTCCATAAAATACTGCAGAAGTCTAAATTTAAAAACACTTATGTTTCCAAGGTGTTTAATACTGTTTCTTTTTTTTTTGTCTACCATAGGTAACTTTCACTACCAGAAGATATGTGCAACTGTAACTCCACTATTTCTCCATACCTGCAGCAAATTTGACTCCAAACCACCAGGTCCACGGCATAATGGAATGATGAAAAACATGCAAGAATGTTACTTGGTTGTTTTTCTTACGCAGTACAAAAAATATCTGAAACAGATTTTAATGAACACAATGTTACTGAAGATAATCAAACCCAACATATTTAAAGAAAAATGTACACATCGATGCTGGTTGCTCACTACTACACATTTAAAAGTTCTTCACAGTTACAGTATTTGGAGAAGAAGGAAAACTGAGTGAGTGTCTGGCTAAGCAAACTAGTTTTCAGAAATACTTAAAACCAGTAAGTAAAATCCCCCTGTGAAATCTCAAAAGCCAAGGCAAGCTTTGAAACCAGATGTCAAAGGTTGAGCCATCTCCTACATGTGCAACAAACTGTGTAAGATGGACTAGCTTGGATTGAGAAGTCTCTACAAGCATCATATTTTAAGTCCCCTGAACTATTAATGAAAAGCCATTTGAGAAAATTAACTGAAGGACTAACAGTTGAAATACTATGTTAGAGAAATAGCACTTTTTTATGAACTCTGACTTAGCTACCATTGGAAAACATCAAAATTGTACAGAATATATGTAGGTATTCTTAATTAATATTGACAGGCCCCATTTTAAAGGACAGGCATCAAGGGAAATGTTAAGAGAAGACAGCAAAAAAAAAAAAGGAGAAGTCAGGTCATAGAAAGGGTAGTATTAGATACAGAAGAAAAGATGTCTAGTGTGCCAGAAAAAACATTTGGAATCAGCTGATTTAAATACAGCTAAGAAATTACTTTTACAATAAAACAAAAAAGCTGATGAGAAACAGGTACCTAATTGTATTCAAACAAAACAAATTAAAAAAAAAAAAAAAAACAGGCTCGGGACTATTTATAAAGGAGCACTATAACCTGTGGCAAATAAAGGCAAATAGAGGAATACACTTGTCAGGATTTTCCTGTTTTAGCATTCCTGACACTTGCATTATCATTCCATTTGGTTTAGTCAGTAAGATCTTCCAGTGTTGAATTGTGAACATTTGCAGATGAAAAGTCAGACAGCCAGCTTTGCTCAGAGGATGCAGAACATCCTCACTGCTCATGAGTCAGCTCCTGAACCACCACTATTGTGCCTCAAACAATAGGGCAAATAGAACTGCAGCTAATTCCAATACTCAGAAGGTGGTCTGAAAATATCTCAGTCAGTCCTATCAGGTGCCAGTCTTGGGAAGATGGCTGCTGGTGGTGAGCGAGGTCTGCATTCTGCTTCAATGCATTGCTGCACAGACTTTCTTTGAAAGAGGTTAGACTGCCAGCCTGGCATCATACATCTCTATAGTCACAACACTCAACCTCAGGAATTCAGAGGAAGTAGGTATGGCAGTTTTGTCCTGCATTCAAAGCTGTTGATCATATTAATGGGGAAAACAAAATCTGAAGACGATGTAAAAAAAAATATTCAGCATGATCAACTGATTTTTATCTGCAGCATTGAGACAAGCATTGTCATAGCATAACAGATTAGTGTACTCAGCTGTTAAACAGAGAATTTATCCAGACTTTCTAAATATTTAAAGGTGTATTCCCTCATTAACATTTTTCCTGATAATGAAGGAAGAACATTGTAAAAAGACAATATCGTACAGAGAGATAATAGGGGTAAACATGATGGTAAATATAAAGGTATTCTAATTATTGACGACTGGAGGACTAAATAAAAAGCAACTTGTATCCTCAGCCCGCAACAGCACTAGTTCTTCTGCTATGAAAAGGAAACAGAACCACTTCTTTTATTAGGCTAGAAATACTTACAGTGTCTAATAATTCAATGAACTTGGAAAAGAAGTAAAGCCAACAAGTTCGCACCATCTGCAAGAGTAAAAATCAAATTATCAAACCAAAAAAGTCATAAACAAAACCGAGCAGGACAAATAATTGTCTATATAAAAGAAAGTACTGGGCCAAATGATGTTCCAAGGTTGACAGAAATATTTAAATGTGTAGTTTGATTGTTTTTTTTAAAAAAACCACAAAACAATTTTTAAACTTAAAGGAATTTTAAAAGCAACAAAAACAAGCCAGTGAATTTCTTGCCTCTTTCTTTCTCCCAACCAACCAACCCGTCCCTCCAGTTAACTCATGTGCTCTACATTATGCAAAAGGGCATTTCTATTTAGTGCATTCCATGACAGTGCATTCAAAAAGGAGACTGTTCAAGAAGCATTTTTAAAAATAAAGTTAATGTGTAACACACTACTTTGAACAACCTGGTCTAGTGGAAGTTGTCCTTGCTCCTATCAGGGGTGTTGGAACTAGGTGATCTCCAAGGTCACTACTAACCCAAACTATTTTATTGTTCCACGGCAACAATTCACCTTTGTCTTTCAACTTACTCTTAGAGCTGTCGGTGACCTCGAGTAGTCAACAATGTCACAACGGAATGAGTATCCTGTGGCCCAGCCTGACATAAGAAACTGGAAGAAAGAAAAGGGCAAAGATTAACTTTACATCTTTTGAAAAATTCATTAATTTTGGATTACTTTTGCAATCACTAAGCAGGAGGGGAAAAACAATATTAAAAACACCTTAAATCAGCAACTTTGTCAATCATCTACCTGTGTGTGGGATAGCTACCACAAAAATCCTTTGCTGTTGTAGATTAATGAATTTCTAATTCCAGGACCACACCCATAGACCAGAATTTTCTTCCTACACCCATTATTTCATCATTAGTAACTGAAGAGAAGAAAGAGATGCATCTCAAAACCAGTTTAAAAAACAACTTACTGTGTAAGACACAAAACCAAATACTAATCTTTTGAAAATTGCTATCATGGCTAACTATCTTCATACAAAAAAGAATACAACACAGCATCTTAATCATCTTAATACTCTAACAAAGCCAACAGCAGAAAGCCATTGCTAATTATCATTAAAGACATGGAACAAATCAATATGCATTATGTATATTTAATATAATAATTTCTAAAATTCTGCTCAATTAAACTTCATGTTTCGATTAGTTTTTCACTCATACGAGTGACGAGAAACTACAACTGAGAGCACACACATGACCACAGGACTATATGTAACAAATATAATACAATATACTCTTTTCTCTTGGAATATATTAAAGTTTGGACAAGAGTAACAATATTAGTATTATACTTGGCTTATTCTATTGGCAGCCACTATGACATATGTATTTTATATCTTTGTAATGCTTCTCATTATCACCATCCAGTCACACATGGCAAGAGCTTCACCTCTCCTAACAGAAGCAAGCTTTTGTCCTTTTAACTTCCTGAAAGGACTGATTGCTTTAAAAAAACATGTTTTTTGGAACACCAGCAGAGCAGCACAGTACTAAAATACCCACCAAATGACTTGATTACAAAAAGGGAAAGAATCAGTTTCTTGCTGACCACCAGACAATAGCAGAAATTCAATTGGTTACATTCTGTCCATGCACTCTTTCATGAAATTGTAACATGGAAGTCTTGACAGCAGACTTATTGAATACCATGCCAGTGATAAACACTAACAGAAGTTTGGTTTTTTTTTTCTTTTGTTTCTTTGTGGGTTTATTTGGTGTGTTTGTTTGTTTCTGAGGTTTATAACCAAAACCAAACTTTGAACCCATTTCAAAAGGAAATTTGGCAATTTTTCAAAAAAATGTCTAAATAGCAAAAATGTTTATCTTGCCCACCACTTTCCATACAACAGTCATGACACAAAGTAGCTGCTGCTGCAGTGCCTTTAGAGAAGAAGGTAGAAGAAGGTACTAAGAAGGTAGTTCACTATAACTCATGATAAAATTCATTAAAATTAAGCTAACAGGAACATACTCTGCCAATTTGGCACAATAATCTGACAACTATTTATTACTAGTTTGCCAAACCTGAAATAGCCACACAGCCTGAGAGTCAAGCACAGGGCCAGTAGTAACACAGTGATGCTTCACCAAGCAAACATGTACGGCTGTCATTCACACAATACCATCAACAAATAGCTACACTTCAAAAAAGCCCACCAAAGCTCACCAAATCCCAACAAATAAGTAAAGCCCAACAGCAGCAAAATCTCAACATTGCTTTTGAAAAAAAAAAAAAAGAGAATTTGCTATTTTGGGGTTGTGGGGAAAATCAATGTTAAAGATATCCATAATTTGGGCTTGAGAGTGAAAGCAGAAGGTTTTTTGTTTAAAGGAGTTTCGTTTGTTCATTTAAAGGACAAAAATGCCTTGAATTAGATTTTGTTAACCTCTATCATTGATTTCTGTCATTTAAAGGCAGATCTAATTGAAGATTATTTCATAGTAGACATACTCTATACAGTGTTTGAATCATTGTTGTCCTTGCCTCTTAAGGGCAGGTTGTCACATTATCACCTAGTAGGACAGAAACAATTACAAGATACTAAGAAAAGCATATTGTCTGCTTTACCTGCTGCAGTACAAAATATTTAAATGATGAAAACTTTAAACTTTTTAAATTATGTATAATGACACAAAATGTTTCATGTTATCTCTTTCTGGGTATGACTTATTCCCTTTTTCCAAGAGTTACCAGTTTAGCACACAGCTTGGAGGAATATAATTACTTCCATGACAATAATATTTGAGAATTGCAGTGTGGGAATTATATTAATAAATTCATTAAAAGTTAGTTGTTAAAGACATGAAATATATAAATACATTACAAATGTAGCACTTACTTCGTAAGTCATATATAAAGAGAGGGCTACCACACTAAAATTATAAAACGTCATGATCTGCCTGAGTTCAAAAGGTTTTTTATTTTCCATGAGTTTGGGTCCCAAGGAAGTGACAAAATAAACGTAGGTTCCAATGATAAAAGTTGTCGGAAAAGGAGAAGACATGAGTGGCCAGCCTTCCAGTCTTGGATCTATAGGTGGTGGGGGAAGAAAAAAAGAGATCAGATATCTATAGAACTTACTAAAACAGGTACATAAAAGTATTTAGTTCTTGATGGTCTAGTTTTTTCTGTCACCAATCATGTTTCAAATCCAAACTGACTGGATAACATCATTTAACCCATGTAGGATTCAGGACTTCCTTCTTCATATATAATTAAATGGACACACAGAATCATGAGTGCCATGGTTTTCTTTCGTTGCAGCACGACGAAGTACACATTTTCATACAACAAGAAAGTTATAATAAAATAAGCAAATGTTGCAAGTTACTCTATAGTTATGTCAGAGATCTGTATTGCAGAGGCACCTCCTCCTAAGCACACCCATTCCCTCTCCCTGCAGATGAGGCTGACAGGTACTTCATCTGAACATCACCATGATTCCATTGCACCCTTTTGTGGTTCATCACAGAGTCTCAGATCACCAAAGACTGCCACATTTCTCCATAAGCAGGTGAACCTCATGCAATTTTTATTTTTTTAAATTTTCTTTTTCACTGACTTTTGGAAGATTTGGTTCAGAATAATCCCAAACTTAACTCCTGACTTAGTAAACTGTTGCTTTCATGGTTTGCTGCTGTATTTTGAGGGTAAAATTATACCACTGTTATTTTTGTCAAGTGTTTAATTCATAGCTAAATGTTTCAAGTCAGCAAATTTTCAACCCACAGCATTCAAGCAACCTTTCACCTCTCTGATGTGGTTAACAGGCACTGGAAGTGTAGAAACAGATTGAGGAGGAGAGCACATTACAATGCTGCTCACAGCTTGTAATGTGCCATTGCTGCTGCCCACAGACCGAGGGCTGTGACCCACAGCATGAGGAATCTGCTCGTGTGCACTGCAAGAGAGCCACCATCTCTTCACAACTGACTGTTTTTGTTGTATCCTCTCTTGCCCTGCTCCTACCAAACCTTTCCTGCCGTTCTTTCCAGCCTGATCCTGAGAAAACCATGTTCCACCACTAACACTATGACAGAAAAAGCCAAATACAAGCACTGTTTGTTGGGCATGGAGATAACTCAGGTTCTGGAGTCATGGATGCTGCAGCAGAAATGCTCTCTCCATCCCAATCCACTTCACCCCATGAGTCATACTGATTAAACTCCCTGCTCACTTGCAGGCTGTGCATTGACAGAACAAGAAAAGTGGTGCTCAGCTACGCTAGAAAAGATAGATCAGTAATCTTATCTATCAAAACTTAACCACTTAATTTTTTTCCAGGAATCGGCTAATCCTTGTCACTATCTTTCTACCACAGTGAGAAACACTGAAACTGCTGCGTCTTAATCCCAAAATTGAGGTCTTCCCTATCAGCTTTTGGTGAGTATACAGAGTAAGTGGCACATAAAAGCAAAGCGTGATTACTATCCCTTACTAACTGCAACAAGAGACTAACATTCTTTTTCAAAGAACCACTGTGACAGAGCTAATTACTCTGAGGATTAATTCAAAATACTGAAACTTATCAGGGCTTGTGGTTGTTTTTTTTTTCTCATTTTGCAAAAGCAAAATGCAGTAATGCAATGTGCCTGCATTAATTAACTGATAAAATGTAATTGGTAATGAAAAAGAGTTAAAACTATACATTCAGCACCATAGGAAAAACTCAAGCTATATATTCAGGCAACCAGAGACTGACAGGAGAATCACTGTTTGCACTTTACTTACTCAGAGTTTATATCCATAAACTACCTGAGTTTTGTTTACTTCCTATTTTAAAATGCAGAAACTAGACTGCCATATTAATAGGTAACCTGGCAACTCTTACAAATATTCACAGGATGACAAAGCTACTTCTAAGCTGATAAACAGCACATCTTGCATAGCTACACATTGCTATTCAAAATTATTGGGAGTTAGTAAGTTTTAGATTTAAATGACTCACCGGCATCTTTAATCCATTCATCATACAGTAATATAGCCTTTGATGTCAGATTGCTAAACGCCATTTTCACTTGATTTTTATGATGCTGCCTGCAGGAAACAAATCAAAACAGAAATACAGATATTTTTTCAATAAGGAAGATTAATAAAGTTTTTTGGGAAAGATTTTCAGGAAACAGAGTGGTTAAAAAAGAGAAAAGGCTAACAGAGCACCATATGTGAAATACAGATCAGGAAGCATTAGCTGGCCACATCCCACTATCCTTGAGTTTAATTTACAGCAGAGCTGTTATGAGCAACAATATGATTTTGCAATCTCTACATACAAACCAGGTGCTTCCGTGCCATAAAGTGTTATCTCAAGAAACTGTGCTATGGTTAACCATTACAATTTAGAGGTAAATATGAATAAAGAACAGATGCTCAAATTATTTTTTATCACCATCTCCACTTAAAGTCCAAGCTACTGATATATGAGGAAATTCAGCTTCGCAATGTTTATTATTGAAAAAGAAATTCAAAATAAGAGGTATTTCTAAGGTATGTGGGAAGGAGAAAAGGTACCAATATGTCAGCATACTCCTTTTAAATACAATAATTAGCCATGTTATAATTGCATGCAAATACCACTCTGATGAATCAACTGTCTCCACACCAGAATCATGGAATGTCATAGCACCAATGGCAATACCATTAACCCACAAAAATTACCCAGCACATCCACGTTGCATGCAGTACCTCCTACTTAGGTCAAATTTTTCAGAGAAGTATACCTATATGAATACTGACTTTTGCTCCAGAAACAAACCCTCATCAGCCCTTTCCTTGCCTCATTCCCCCTAGAAAATACATTTAAAATATATCAGCACATTTGTTGGTGTTTTTCCCCTACCCACTCAGTGTCTCACTTTACTCTATGAATTCTCTCAATATCCCTGTGCAATCTTCACACTGTGTTCACCTTTATTATTACTATTTATTTATTATTTCAAGCTGCAGCACAACTTAATAACCAACTCCCTTCCTCTGGCAGCCCTTCTGCATCTCCTCCAGGTTAAGCCAGCTGCAGGTTGAGAGTGACAGTTCTTCCCTTCATTATGGAAATGTATCTGTCTCCTCAGATCACCCCACTGTCATCTTCTCATTTATCTTCAGCTTAACAGTCCAGAAAAACAATTTCATCCTTATTTCCACTTCTACAAGTGTGAGGTTTCAAGGGACCTCCAGGTGCCTCCTGTACACACAACACTGTCGGGCTACTTCTTTTTTTATGTAAAAAGCAAAGCGGCTAATAGTTGTTATAAAGTTATTTAGTACAGAAGCATATCAGTCTCAAAAGCAAGAACAAAGCAAAGCAAAGTAATGGCATAAAGCAATGGCAAAGCTGCAGTGGCAAAATGCAATGGCAAAATGCACATGGCATAAAGCCATGTCATAAAGCCCCAGCTCTCCCTGATGCATGTTCTTTTATGGAAACTTTCCAACTAGCTAAGACACAAACTCGGACCACTACTCCTTAACCTATTAGAATTCTGTTTTCTTAGCATGCCAGGCTATGTATAGACTACCTTCATGGCCTATCTTGTTCTACCGAAAAATGTAAGCACTATCCTTAACTCCAACTCTATTATGTCTGAAGCTAGGTTCTTGGAGCCTCTAAGGAAACACGAGCATGTTTTTCAACCTTCACTAGAACATGTACTACTTCTCAGGCATCTAAGACCTTTTGCTTACTAAAAGCACTTAAAACTTATTCCATTTACTTACTTATTTTCACTCTCTTATGTTACAACCTAAATCTTCACCTCTGCCTTATAAGTGAGAGGCCTAATATACTTCAGTCCATCTAAAGGTTTCAACTCCATCCCTGCATTCTGATCTCTCCCTGAAGGATTCAGAGAAACTCCTGACTTACTGACTCCAACATACAAGTACATGCTGTTCACTGCCATTTTGCAGGAATTTTTAGCCACCCTTCATTGCAAGAGACAACACAGACAAGCCTGCCTCCATTAGAGTTCATCTTATCTACCTCATCTCCATTCTCATTCTACTACCCACTTGTTTTCCTGGTTGCACTTCTGTTCTGTGTCTCTGAATATCTGCAACTACCACCAATTTCACATTTGGAAAATACTCCCTCTGCAAGTCTCCTTAAAGTTCACATTTTCTAGAAATATCATCCTGCAACATCAGCATTTCCCAATTCAATGTCACTACTTTCATACTGACAATTTTCATGCATCCTGTATTCATATTACAATATTTGCTTCAGCACTCTGTGCTGATAAAGGTGCTGACAAAAGGGGCATCCTCTTTCTTTACTAATGGAAACATGAGGAGCATTTTTGCTTTTTACACTAGCAATCATATGAGAGAAAAGATTTTATGGTTAGAGGCAAATTATAAATATTTGTGTCACCTTGCTCCATAAGCCAACTATGGATGATATCAAATACACGTAAATCCAACCCTGTCCTGAACACCAGGTACTTCAGAGTGCTCAACTGTGACAGCCAAGCAATTCAGCCATAACTGGTGCTGGAGAGCAGCCATCAAAAATGTTTATTTTATAAATAACTATTGTATTAAATTGTTAGGCCGATTACAATAAATTATCCTTTTAATCCAGTATTCTTTCAGTTTCAGACACATGAGAACAGTGTGTCAAGAGAAAAGGCATGACAAATTGAAAGTACATCATGCAATGGTTATAACAGAACTCTACAAAAGCCCACAGAAACCTTGTGCAGTGCTTGGCTCAGTTTTTCGACGAATATATTCATCGAGTACAAATAATTATATTATATTTAACTGGTTCTTTGGTAAGAAAAGTAGCTTACTGATTTCACTGCCACTCAGCTTTCCCACCCTCACATTACTGGCACTCAGACTGGCAAGCTCAACATGCTGACCAAGACTAAAGTTAAACAAGAAATCTGCTTCAAAACATGCTCTTAAAAACCCAGAAAATTCAGTGTAGCTTCTGGCATTAAATCAAACGCCATTTAATATCCTTGTATTTGGTTTGCATAGGCAAGCTTTGGTAGTGGGGGGGGCTACAGGGTGGCTTCTGTGAGACGCTGTGAGAAGCTTCCTCAGTGTCCAGCAGAGCTAGTCTCTGGTGGCTCCAAAGATGTATGTGCCTCTGGCAAAGGCTGGCCCAATTAGAAATGGTGGTAATGCCTCTGTGATAACAGATTTAAGAAGAAGAAGAAAACCCCAATGTTTGTGCAGTTGTAATTGCCACCAGAGAGGAGCAGAGTGAGAACATGAGAGGAGCAGCCCTTGCAACCCAAGTCAGTGCAGAAGCAGGGACAGGAGTTGCTCCAGGGGCCAGAGCTGAGGTTCCCCTGCAGCCCCTGGGGCAGCCCATGGGGAGGCAGCTGTGCCCCTGCAGCCATGGAGGGACATGGGGATGCAGAGATCCACCTGCAGCCCCTGGAGGAGACCCAGGCCACAGCAGGTGGATGCCAGAGCAGGTGGAGGAGGCTGTGAACCCATGGAGGGGGAAGGCTACACTGGAGCAGGCTGTGGCTGAAGGACTGCACTCCATGGAAGAGTGACCCACATTGAAGCAGCTCATGGAGATCTGTTGCTCGTGGGATGGACTCACACTGGAGAAGTTCACAGAGAACTGTCTCCCATGGGGGACACCCCATGCTGGAGCAGGGGAAGCACTCCTCTCCCTGAGCAGCAGCAGGGACATGTGATGAACTGACCATAACCTCCATTTCTCATCTCCCTGCACTATTCCAGCGGGAGGAGGCAGAGCTGGGAAGGAGGGAAGGATGGGGGGAAGGTGTTTTAAGGGCTCATATTACTTCTCATCATGGTGCTCTGATTTAGTTAGTAATAAATTCAATTATTACCTTTAATTCGAATCCATTCTGCCTGTGGTGATATCTGGCAAGTGATCTTTCCCAATCCTTATCTTAACCCATTGTTGTATTTTCTCTTCCCCGTCCAGCTGTAAAGGGGAGTGAGAGAAAGGCTTTGGTGGGCATCTAGCACCCAGACAGGGTCAACCCACTACAGTGGGCTCAGGGTGTTGATTGTTACAACCTCTTACAGTTGTCATTCAACAACTGCAAACTCACAAATAGACAATTCTTTACATTTACCCACTTGACTTCTGAACTTCACTTTAATTTTTGCATCAGAAGTCAAACAAACATGCTGTCAACATTTAAATAGCAAGTCTTAAACTTGCTAGGCATTGAGGCCAAATGCAAGACTGTTATCTGGAACTGGACTATTTCCAGTAGATTTCTTCTGGTTGTAGTAGAAAGGCAGATGATGAAAATAGTGAAACTGGCCCTAGCCATACTGATGGTGAGGGATTTATCCCACCTCTTCTGACCCCAGCACTCACAGCCCCTCTTCCTTTAAAACAGTCCTCAAAAGTTTAGGCAGCAGAGGGTCTCAGCCTTCAAGATTTCTTTTCTGTTCACAGTCCAGTAAGATGAAACTCCACCAGTTACCAGACTTCTTCTGACTCGGGAGTCCAGTAACTTGAGAGAAGGATTTAGACAGAAAGCAGCCCCAGCCTCACCACTCAATAGTGACTGATCAATTAATCTGAATCTAAGGGTAAGCAAAATACAGTAAGTTAACTCCAATTATTTTTAGAAATAACATCTGCAAGAAAGACAGTGCTGTTCAGAACTTTCCTATGGTTAAAAGGTTCATTTAAAACCAACTTTTACATATGACATTACTATTTCACTTTCAATGTGCTTTACAATTTACCTGTTTTCCTAACTAACTACTCAGTTTTCCTTCATAAATCCACTTCTGTGAACAACAGTTGACATTAATGTTAGGTTCTCAGAATAATTTTTTTGTTAACCACCTACAAAGGGAGAGTTAATGGCAGCATGGAAGATATTTTGTCTTACTTCGTTATAGTCAGTCCACACACATTCATACACACTGGAAAATAATATGATCAAGACTTGCCTTTTTTTAATAGAAGAGTCAATAAAAAAGGAAATCACATGCCTACACACCAGAGAAACAACTAGCTCGTGCTTCATCAGGAAAAGACAAACCATTTTTGAAAGAATGTATTTTTATAGTACCACTGTCTTGGCAAGAAGTAAACTGATAATGCTCTGACCATAATGGAATCTTTCAAAATGTTTGGCAGTTTTGTAGGTTGGAGAAATTATTTTTTAAGTGTGAGACTGTAAAGTGGTCACCTGAAGGGTCAAAGACTTGAGGCCAGAGAAGGCCATTTGCTAAATACACAGTTTTAGTTCTTCATGCTGTAAACTCATCTGCCCATTATGCGTTTGAACAGACATAGTTGAGTCAGGAGAACATACATTTGGTTTACCTACTTGATAATGTACTTACAGAATCAGTACATTAGCACTTTTACTTCCAATCTTCCCCTTTCTGCTCATATTAAAATTTTAAAATGCCATAAAAATGCATACGAGATTGTCCAGTTTATAGCAAACTCTCAAAATTAAGTAACCTTAGCAGACTCATTTTCAAAATTGGATTAATTTGAACGACATATTGCAAACAATTCACATAAACTCAAAAATGTAGTCATATAAGTAGTCTGCCCAGCTTGAAAAGTTTTAAATAACAAAGGAAGTCCCCTCAAACACATGCAATTGGAAAATAAGTGTCAAAATCACCTCAAAAATGTATGCAAGATATTCAGCTCTTCAAAAGAAATAAGCACTACTTTTCTTTTTGTCAATAGAAATAATACTGTGCACCTAAGTTCAAGTCAACATAATTTCTGAAGACATCTTTAAATAAATGTACTGCCACCACTTTAAGAAAAGGAGATATAAATGAAGCAAAGGAGGAAAAGGTTTGTGACAAAGAGCAAAGTAATCTGCTGTGCTCTGGTTGCCTGTGGCTCAGCAGGCAGCTGGAAGAGCCCACTAACTGCAGCAGAGCTAAGGCATACAGCTTGGCAGAACCAGTTCCAAGTTAGACCATTACCTTTACTGGAGAGGCAAGGGCAGATAAGATTGTTTACACCAACAAAAATGCCACAAATTCTACAGCAAACCATATGAGAATGTCTGATGATGAGAAGTGGTAAGGAAACAAGCTGTTGCAAGTGCTCAAGTTCACTTAGCTCACAAAACTATTAGTGATTTTGGTAATTGGAATTACTGATATGCCTCAAATATTTCTAATTTTTAAATGAGAATAAGAAGTTTCTCACATTCCTTTGCTTAACCCACATGAAAGATATTTGCCATTCTTTATGTTTATTTATTCCCCCTACATAGTTTAAAAATAGTAAAACAGATATCAAGATTTGCTTTTAAATAGTAATTTTACAACATATTTTCAAAATATTAATGGCTACTAAACAAAATAAGTATACAAAAGAACTTCACAAAAAAAAAAAACCAAAAAATCAAAATAAAACAAACACCCCCTACAAAAAAAAAAAAAAACAAAAAAAAAAAAGAAAAAAAAAAAAAAACCACCAAAATGAAACAATCTAATGTAAGCTCTGTCACTCCAAAAAACAAATTTTCAATTCAGTGTGAACTTAAAACACTTAACATTAAAAATTTACATTAGAGGAAAAAGATTATTAAAAAGACTGACAGATTCTTTTACAGTGATCCTTTAGGAAATGTCTGGAGATGATGAAAACCCAGTGCAGAATTCAGTGGTCTAATTTCCACCCAAGATGGGTCCCAAAAGCCAAGTTTCTGGTGTATCACACCTAGCCTGATAAGACAGTGATGAGCATCCAATGATTCTGGAGGATCACGCACCCTGCAGACCCCACTGGAAGAGGTGGAGAGCCTACAGCAAGCATTGACCCATGCAGGTCTGATTTCAAAATTATAGCTTAAGAAATGGCAGTAATACTGGCTTACATATCCAGGCACAATTATGAAACTTTCATGTTTCAGAATCACTTTGTATACTGTTGTTAATTCTGCTCTTGAAGTTCAGAAGGTAATTAAATTAGGACGTTTCACAGATGGTATCTTAAGATTTACCTGGGAAATACTAGCTCTGCCCTTCCTATTTCCCAAGGCTGTGTGTTACATAATTGCAGTTATTTTAACTACATTACTCCCTTATGTCACATGGCAAGCAACTACAAACTGCCTATTATATTACACAGATTACTCACCCATATTCTGCAACAAAGTTTTAAAACCTACCTGGGTGTCACCTGTTGTTAAGAATTTTGCTGAGAGAAGTTTCTGTCACCTTTTCCATTTTTATGCCTTCTCTCAAACATCCAGCACAGTTTTTGAGAGATTCATCTCACATGCAAGTTTGCTACATTCTGCTTAAAATTAGACGGCTTTTTCCTTTTCGATAATATTGCTTATAAACACTGCCGCTGCTAGATGACAGTGGACATCCTAAAAGCAGATTACTGAGCCTTAGAAACTTTATTATAACATCTATTTATAAAATTCCTCACTGCAACTATTCAATAAGATATCTAAAGCTTATCTTGTGTGGTCGCCCATATGAATTTTTTACATAGCACCTCTTTATTTAATCCTTTGCTTTTTAAACTAGCATCAAATCTGTTATTCACCTATGAGACTAAAGTACCCTAAATAGCAGAACTAGTGAAAAGAGGTTTCATTTCAACCACACTTCACATTGGTTTCCTGTCTGTGGGAAATTGATTTCCCATTCTGCTGCTGTGTAAACTAAAGACCAGTTTGTATTTGCTTCCACACCTTTCTATAAATTGTTAAAAGAACAGGTACTGAAGACTTCACAGCAAAGCTGAACAGTAACAACAGACATGGAAAATCCCCTTCTTATGGGAAAAATTTCAGGAGTCCAGCCCTGCTTTGTACTCAGCTCCCAACCAGAATTACATGGGCACTCTCCTGGATCACATACACTGAACCAACCACCAGTGTCTGGATGAGAAAGGCCCCCAGTGCAGCCCAGTCCCACAGCATCACTGCCAGGTCTGCTTCAGGCAGCTGCAGATAAGCCACAGCAGTTCACCAGTCTAAATGAAAGCTTAGGCTTTGAGAAAGAAAAAAAAATAAAAAGATATTATTTCTCAGTCAATTCAGACTTGAAAGGTTGAACTGGCTTGTGCAAAGGAAACATTAAAACTCACAAACTGAAATGCCACAGGAAGGGATAAAAGTGGGAATTACAGCCCTGTCATAAATCCCTTTAAGCTGATAATGAAGTAATGTAGGGAAGCCACATTATCACCCAGTCCTGCCTACTCATAGACTATTTGCACTAGATCCCTAGTCAAGAACTTCACATGCTCCACCCCTAAAAGTCATCACTCTCTCCACCAGGGACACTCTACAAGATGAGATGTGAAGCCATAAAAATTATATTCTGCTACAGTAAGGCAGGAAAAGACCTGTCATCACCAGTATCTTAAATATCTTAAATATATCACCTGAGGTTGCAGGGATGCATGTGAAATGATCCTCAGAACTAATCTCCTACATCACATAGAAAGACTTATCAAGTCTAAATAGTTCTTGCAACCATAGCCTGGAAGGAAGTTTCTTTACAAGTCTGCATCCAGTTATCAGTTTAAATCAAGTTACCAGTTTAAATGAGACTCTGGGCACAACTCTGAAAAAGTTTTCAATTTCACTTAGAACTTGAGCATCCCGGACGTCAGTGTACCTTCACCAATATTCTCTCCCTATACTTCCAATGTTTTAGAGAAAACTAAAAACATTAGCAGGGAAAAGTTCCTAAGACTTTAACTTATTTTCGGTGTTTGCTTGCCTTTAACAAAAGCTATTTAGCACTCAAATGTTAGCCATCCTTCAGCTTACTGGTCTCACCTACCTACTCTGCTGCAGTGAGTGGCTCCTCACACAGCTTAGAACAGAAGCTCTTCTCCTCGGTGCCCCAGTGCACAGCTCACACAGCTTACTTGGCTCCTTTGAGTTTGTCCAGCTCAGTGGCACCAGTGCACAACGTCACCTAGACCTGCATACACAGTGACTCCTGTGGCACACACAGCACGACAACTTTCACTTAGAATTCAAAATAAGGTTGTTAATGCAACCTCACTTCCATTAGATAATGGTATATCATTATCCTTATCAAAGGCCTTTGGTAATGCATTGATTTAATAACTGGGCCATATCCGACCCAGGTTAATATCATCCTTCCTCAAAGGATTTAGACTCTCCTTTTTCTTCCTTACCTTATTGTGCAGCTAGGAAAACAGAATTTCAGATTTTCATTAAAGACCAGATCAACTAAGCTTTAGGTCACTTTAAACAGACTTTCACAAATCACGACCTAAGGGCTAGAAAGCAGTGGTACAATCTAGTATTTTCAGCCGTGCTGCACAATCATGCTAACTCATACCCCCTGTGCTCCCTGCTCATTCATCTGCAAGCCAACATCTTTACAACACACAAAGCTTTCACCTATTCTGTTTGTTTTTCCTGTACAAACAGCTATGGTAGAGACAGTTCTGATAAGGATACGTAAGAATTATTTACAGCTGTGGTGTAAAGTGTATACACATCATTAGTAACCAAGTAAAACAGAATATAGGGCTCTGTACTGAATTAGAGGGGTAAGGACTGCTATTTACCTGCACTGCAAAAGATAACACAGACTGGGTTTTTTAAGCTGCCTAGGAAGCACATTTTTAACACTCAGTTTATAGGTAAGCTCCGAAAAGAGAGAGGGAGTGCAAGTGCCAACTAAATACTTTGAATGAAAGAGATCAAGGACATGTAATGTCTGAGACTGTTCCCTTCCTTTAACAGCAAGCTGAGTCACTGAGTTAGCTCCACCATATTGTCTATCCTAATTTACAGTTGAGAGTTCATGCATATGAGTTAATATAAGGCTCTCCTACACTGAATTAATCACAATAGAAGCAGTTTGCTACTAAGGACTTGGTTTGTGTTTACCCACCTCTTAGTAGAATAACAACATTAATTATCATTAAATAGTCACAGTGGGGGTCACTTAATGGAAGTTAAACAGAAACAGAAAAGCAGAGCTAGACTTCAGCTTCCAGAGCAGATTCCTTAAAATAAAAGGAAACAGGACTTG